TTTCATTTTCACCACAAAGACATTAAAACGCTATGGATATTGTGTACATTGTGAATAATGTCTATACAAAGGACATTATTAGAGGGGATCAAGGACATTAAGAATTCAAGGACATTGGACAATAGATAGAAATTGAAATACGATGGACATTATTGTTTTTTCGTGGAGATGATGGACGATGGAGCTAGACAATGTCCATCTGGCGAGGACATTCTCGGAGATGATGGGCAATGGTGATGGCTGCAGAGCGGCCGTGGCGGCGGTGAACAATGTCCATTTGGCGTGGACATTGTTTTAAATTATGGGCGGTGGGTGGCGGCTCTAGACAACAATGGTGATGGTGAAGTGGTTGAGAGTAGATAGAGTAATGATTTAGGGTTTAAAAATAAAAAGAACAAAAAAACCTAAAAAGGTGTTTTGGTACATTAATTTTAGTATTTAAATAATTATTAATCAATTAGATCCTAGTTAGGGAATATAAAAAATTATAGTTATATTTAGAGAAAAATGACTATATTTTAGTTCTATTTAACTATTTTTTCCTTAACAATTTTATATTTTTTGGATGGAGATGTTGAAAGTGACGAGTATAACACTTGATCTTATGATTGGAAGTTTGATTTCTCCTTTGGCACAACATTTTTGCGTCTAATAAATATTCGTGAAAACTTGTTACATTTCTGTGTGTTGTTCCTCCTATGGTGAAATCTTGTCCGAAACAGGATAATGGTATTTCCCAAATTATATTTATATATTTTGACCATTACTGGGACATGTCTTGAGGAATGCTAGGGGTACATGTGCACCATTCATCTTCACCCTCCATTTCTTTTTTTTATTTTTAATTTTTTTTCTCTCTCTTGCTTTTATATGGTGGGAATGGAGCAGGGTACAAATGTGTACACCTTTTGCTGTACCTCTTACATTTTGTTTTTTTAATACTCCGTATCATAATTTCATGGTGTGTATAAATGTTCGAATGTGCATTTGTCATTTTATCATTATTCTAAAAAAGTCAGTAAAAAAACCGATATCTTGGGACATTGGTCGGGTATGGTCGGGTCGGTCAGTCGTTTTTGAAAGTCGGGTTTCAATTTGATTTTTGATGGTGTCTGGTTTGGTTGTAATTTTGGATTTCGTATTAAGAAGTTGGGTTCAGATTTGGTTAAAAATTTGGATTAAGCTAGGGGTACACCAACATGGGGTACCCCAAGTGTACACCAAGCCAACACAGACACACACAGACACAAAATGTCTGTGTTGCACAGACATTTTGTGTCTGTGTGTGTCTGTGTTGGCTTGGTGTACACTTGGGATACCCATGTTGGTGTACCCCTAGCATTGCCCTACAAATTTAGACTCAAAGACTCGAGTTCAGGCCAACAAAAATATCCGATATCAATTTCGGATAAGGACACACTCGAACCGAACATGGATGGATGGAGTTGGTTTAGGGAGGTGGACCACCACATCTCCCCCATTTCTTCGATGTGGTCCCACACCACACCGCACGGATTGCTTATGGCCCCACAATATTTATCATTCACCCCCTCCTAAATTTGGGACCACTCCTTCCCTTTTTTTAGTGCCCGCACCTGCCCTGCGCCCCTACCCACTTTTGGAAAAATAAAATGTCTCGCTCTCACACACCGGCTCGACAAGATTATGAGGAGGTAAATTATGATATAATTTCAACCTGTTCTTTAGAAAATGTTGCCCCATATCCAATGCGTATGAGAAGCAATTACAAATAATAAAACTCTCAAACTACAATAATCAAATTTGATTATATGATCAATGGACCTGACGTCTTCTCCTTGAACCAGTTGATTTAGACATCGAGACCCTACCCACTTTTGATATCTTGAACCTTGCACTACTCTTTGTCTATGGAACAAATTCGTTCTTTGATTTTCTAAGATACTCCCTTCTTGCCAAAATATTCACTATATTTTGAACAATATATATAATATTATCTCATTTATAATTACTCCGTATTTTATTTACAAAATAATAAAGTAGTAAAAAATATAAATTACGTTATTCAAAAGTATATCAAAAATTTAAGATGCGACAAAAATATTTTATTTTATCAAATGATTATCGAAAATGAATAAACGTCATTGGACATTACATTGATGTCAAATTATACTTTTAACATTTAAATTAACACCAAATGGCAGAAATTTAAAAAAATGATCATTTCTAGAAAGGCGCCCATTAAAAAAGGATTACGAGAGTAATATTTGATTATAGAGAACTAAATATAAAAATTCTATGTTATAAAGGACCAATTATAGAATTTCCGCAGAACATTCAAATAATTAATAAAAATCTCAAAAATACTCCAGAAAATTGACTTTCTTTTAATAAATCATACTACCTCCGTCCCGCTATATTCGTCCACTTTTGACTTTTGAAACTGTTCGTCTAAGCACTTTGACTCATCAAATTCTCTCAATGTCTAAGCCTAAATATAGTCATATGTGATCTTGTTTGATTTATCTTAACATATAGATTATTAATATATAATTTCTATAATTTTTTAATATACAAATTACAAGATAAAATGAATTAAGAAAGTGTATTGGATTGTTTGTAAAAATGAAAGTGGACAAATACTCTGGGATGGAGGGAGTACTTTCCAAATATATTATTGTTATTTTAAATATTTTTATTTGAATTCCTTTTACTTTAATGATGAATGTTAAATTTTCAACTTAAAGTTTCTCTTTATTGCAGACATTTTGATTTTTCAATGGGGGCACTTTATTTCTTGGACGGGGCATAACTTATAATTTTGAGAATTTTGGATACTTTTAAGAAAATTAAAATTCATTACATGTAAGTGGAGTCCGGTCATGTTCTCTTTAAATGATCTAAATGATTTAGATTTGAGCTGAATATAATTATATTTAAACCAATTTTTTATATAATCTAATTTCAGTAAGAATATATGTAATAAATAAAAAATTAAATTAAAGAGAACATGACTTCATTCTCTCAGCTTCCTAATAGATCCATGTGGTGCATTCCTTCAAAGTGCAAAGTAGCAAACTGAGTTCCAAAAGTGCATTTTGGAAAAGTTGGTCACTCAATAAGTACAAGTCACCAAAATATTAACAATTTTGAAAATAACAAAAATATGTATAATTAATTAACTCAATATTTTTTTGTAATAGTTGTGAGAGTATATCCTACATCGGAAATTGACGAGAAATATAATCATGTATAAGCTTTTAAACTGAACTGAATAAATGATTGAATTCAATCTTTTAATATAATTCATTCCAAGTGTCTTATTGACCAACCCAATATCATTTTGGCATTGAAGAATTCTACATTTTCAATAATGTCCCATTCATTTTTAAAATGTGATGATATGGGTATATAATTTAAAAGAATACTTTAAAAATCTACCCCCTCCGTTTTAATAAACCCTTCATCTTTTGACTCTTAGCCAAAATAAGAAAAATGTATTTATTATTGACTTTCCAATTTTGTCCAAGTGTGATGGGTAAAAGTAAGATGTCATAGTTAGATTATTAATAAAAAAATATGATATTATAGGTGATATATGAAAAAGTAAGAGAAAAATAATTTTTTAATAGAATGTGAAACTGTTTGGGAGAAATGCAAAAAAAAATATGAAAGAAGCAGTTTTATTGAAACTGAGGAAGTAGTTTTCAATTTGATACAACAGCGGTCTAATTTAGAACAATATTAAGTCGATTCTTTAGGTACTTTTTTTTGAAGAAAAAAATTGATGATATTCAATTAGATCGAGATGTCTTGGACAAGAGGGAGTAGGCCTTCAAGGCATATACTCATTTCCTTGTCAAAAAGAGAGAAGTGTAAAAATTTATTTTCCTACCAAATCATGTTCTTTATTAAGCATAGTTTTCAAACTAAATTGGTGACTGAACCAGCCAAATTGCTAGTTCACACCGGTTGACCCCGGTTGAGCTTGTGATTCGAGGGGCAACTATGTCACCACACATATTGTTATCTAAAACACACTTTAATGAACAGTGACACAAGCTAAGAAAAGCCATTTCACGAAAGTCCATCTTCTGCCCGCACGGGTAGCCCAAGTGGCAAGCACTTGGTGAAGTTTGGAGAATGACCAAGGATCGAAACTTGGCAGCGACCGTTGTGGAGGCGATCACCTCTGAAAAATGGGGGAGTCTCTGGTGCGCACTAGGATATGGTCTAGCTAAGTGTTGTGCTTGGGTCACCGTGATTTACCTCCTCTCACATTTCCGTCAGGTCGGGGGTGAGGGGCGCCCGGGGTGAGCGATTTCACCTTTTGGAGAACGAAAGTCCATCTTCCACTTTGTTTCTCCATCCCTTCTAAAGGGTCAAATCTTATAGACTTTGTCTTTTATTTTTGTTATTTATCTGATAAAATAAAATAATTAGTCAAATCTTATACACTTTATTTTTTATTTTTGTTATTTATTTGATAAAATAAAATAATTAATTGCATCTTCTTTCATCTACTTAAAGGTATACAAAAATGAAATATCTCAGACAAATACAGACATTTAATGCATGTGAATCACAAACACCAAGTATCTGTGTTTACAGACAGTGTCTGTGTTTATCTGGTGTGCGTACCCCATTTTATTGCACTCTTAGTATGCCCTAATTTTTAAATACATAACATTTATTTTTTAATTCTTACATTTAAAGTAATACAAACTAAATTTAAAATAAAATTAGTCAAATATCATAATGCAAACCAAAAAGATTTAAATAAGACGAATGATAAGTCATTTTGTTATCTTAATTTTTATGGTTAATATTTTTAAAGTTTGATAATAAATTTAAAAAAATATATTGAATTGTGATAAAATTTAACATCGATTGATTTATTTTTAAATATTATTTTGAAATATAATATTTTTATAATCAATATTTATATATAAATAAAAATATTAATTTTCAAATTGCTATATTAAGAATAGTAAAAAGTCAAATAGAAAAAAAGATATGGAATGGTAGGGATAACTTCATTTGCTAATTCCCAAATCCCTATCCAAATCTTTTTAATACACTTTCCATTAGATTAGATGAATGATGATTAGCAAAAACTCAACACATCTTAGTAGGGATTAAAGGCTGATTAGGATCAATAATAATAATAATTATAAAGTGAAAAAAGAAGCAAAAAGGCTAAAACCCTTTACTAATGACGGCGATGTCCTCCATTTGGTGGTGGTGGTGGTTCTGATGTGTTCTTTGGGTGGGATCATTCAGCCGAGACCCAGAAGAATCCATGAATTGAAGCTCCTTCTTGTCGTAAATCTGCAGAGAAAAGTCTCTGAGCATTTGGGTGGGGTTGGTGGTGGTGGTGGTGGTAGCGGCGGCGTTTGAGGAGCTGGAGGGACTGGTAGAGCTGCAAATTGGAGCCATGGTGGATACCTCCTTGCCGGAATTGCCATCTCCGCCGGAGTTTGATACAGAAGGGCTCTGTTGTCTTTGAATTCCACCGCGAGGAAAACTAACTCCGGGTTGCATTGAGGTGGCGAAATTAGGAACTGTGCTGCCGGGGACGCTGTAGACAGGGGTCGCCGTCGCCGGTATGGCCCACAGCTGGGGCTGGTTCAAAGGTCCGGCGGGTGACGGCGTCTGTGGGAGCATCAGGAATGCGCCGCTCGGGACCGCCGCGCCGGGCATAACGCCGTTTCCGGAACTGACTGTCCACACGGGAACCAGGCCTTGAGGAATAATCGGAGAGACAGGGGCGAAATGGGAAGGTTCGTTCACGACGAAGAACTCGCTTCTCGGGGCCATCTTTCTTCTCCTCTTCGCGGACGCCCCGTCGTTTTCCGTCTCCGGGCACGTCGTCGGAATCTTCAGTTCTCCGTTCACGGAGACGGCGATGGCCGGCACCGTCCCCGTCCCAGTGGCCTGGATGATGGCCGGCTCCGCTCGCTCGAGGAGCCACCTGATGGTCTCTCCGTCAGACTTGTGACCCAACTCCCGGGTCAACTGAAAAATCCTCGCCGCACACGCCGCCGGCATGCGAACTCTTCTCCCGCGGCCCTCCACCTTCGTGTGGCGGTCCTTGGAGGATCTCTTCGGCGGAGGGATCGCCAATGTCTTCAACTGCACCGGTACCACCGCCTTCAAGTCCTCCTCCTCCGGCTCCTCCTTCAACAACGCGAAACCATCCGACGATCCAACGGCGACACTTCCCGGCGACGGACCGACCGCCGTAATCGTGTACTCATCTGGGTTCCCGAGCAGCGGATCTGCCGGGCTGTCAACCTCCTCGTCATCAGCATCCAGATTCCCTTCCCGCTTTTCATCCATCAACGCCATATTATCGAAACAGAGAAGCGGTCAATCACCGGAAACCGAACTCACCAACGACGTCGTTTTGGAACGGAGCTTCGTCTTCTTCGCCGCTCCAAGATCGTTGACTGAATCCAGCCTGAAATCTGCTGTTCACTACTGAGAATTCGGAGAATTTTGTTTTTTCGGTTTATTTTTTAATCAGATAAAATAATTCAATTGGAAGAAAAAGAAAGATATAAAGAGGGGAAGGGGAACCCTAGAAGGAGGCCCACTTAGTCCTTGGAGGGACAAGAAAAGTGGGGGACCCACCGAACCCTACGTTGTATGGAAGGAGAAGAAGAAGAAAATGGACGGCTGAGGATTGTTCCATCGAGGGATCGTGGGGTCATCGCGATATTCGCGGGTCCCACGTTTTTTGTTGTTGTTGTTTGGTTTTTTTGTTGGACCGAGAAATAATTAATTTGGTAAATAATCTTTGGGTGGAGTGGGTGGTCATTTGGTTCGTCATTTATGGCTTGTTTGTTTGGTTGATAGATTTTGGGGACAAAAAGGTAAATGGAAGGAGAGAAGTGGTTGGGTGTGAGAAGTGAGAAATGGATGAGAACGTGATGTCATTTGAATTTACAAATTTAACTTCATAGTTGCAATTAATTGTTCCATGTCTTAAAGGCAATTTTTTTTCTTTAGACAACAATAAATCATTGAGCAATGTTATATTCACAAACATAATACTCACAAACTTCATAAAATGTTTATTTATGGTTTAAAATTTCATTTTAAAATCATTTTAAACCATTTAATTTTTTTCATTGAAGTTCACTAAATCATTTTCTTCATTCATCTCATTCGCTTCTAGTACTTAAGTCGATGGGTGTTGCGTAATTGACAAGACAAAATATGTTTAAGAAAATATATCTAAAATCAGTTTTTGACAACTGTACTGAGATGCAAGAATGTTAGACATAGAGCATATGAAAATATCAGATTTATGTTTCACCATTTGTCATCAATATGTGATTAAAACCTAATTTAACTCCTATCATTGAACGTTCGACCTGTTCTAAATGGTCATCGAGAATGGAATTCATCCTTTTTTATGTCATAAAATTTACTACTTCGATAAACTGCCTATTTTTTTTGTAAAAAAGTGACAAGTACTAATTTTTAAAAAGTCTCTGCATATCCTTTGAATTATGGAAAATGCATAAAAAACTCTTTTTGGTGGCGGTTAGAAGTGGGCATGGATCGGAACGGTATAGATTTTATTTGTCTTGATCCCAATCTCGTTTCGTAAATAAATACGGATTGAAAAAATTCAGGACATGACATTGTCCTGCTTTGTGCCGGTCCTTTAATTGAGCACGGACAATTTGAAAGAAGTTCGCGATTTCTTTTTTTTAAGTTTTTTATAAAATGTGAAATAAAAACTTGTAATATCTTAATTTAGAAAAATTCAAAAAAATATTTATACACCCAGCCAAGGGATACCTTGAACATAGAGTGTCATACCCAATCAATAACTCAAGCCTAACTTCCATGATCTCGACATCGTACTCGGCCTCTGTCATCCGAAAGGGGTCGGGTCGAAACGTAGCCCCAAGGTGGTCTGCGGTCTGGAGCTTGGACTTGATGCCAGCAAGTGGACCTTTTTGTGTAACTCAAGGTAGACCTCTCCGAAAGGTCATCTTCTCGGCCTCGGACAACTATGATGGTTCGGGACTTAGAAGATTTAGAGAAACATACTCCCTCCGTCCATAAATAAAGTTCTCACTTTCCTTTTTGGTCCGTCCACAAATAAAGTTCTCATTTCCTTTTTTGGCAAACTTTTAAGTGTAAAATGACTAAGATACCCTTATCTTTTTTTTCATTCTCATTTCATTACAGCCACCAATCTTCAACCTTATCTTTCTTCCTCCGTGCTTTTCTTCTCCACTTTCTTCTTCTTTTTTTCTTCTTCTTGATTTCTTCTTCCCCTTCAATTCTTTTTCCCCTTCTTCAATTCTTCTTCTCCTTCTTCCTGGAATCGCATGTGTTTCTCTCTCTAAAGTCGGCAATTGAACAAGTCTCGTACACTGTTCATCGCAATTGAATAGCCCTGATTCCTCTTGATTTTCTTGTGTTATTGATACGATCTTTCGAGCTCTTTGATCGTTTTGGACCAAGGAATCCCTTCCTCAGTTTAATTTCTTGATTATGGTGCTGGATTGGACAAGAATCGCAGGTCAACCATCTCGGTGTACTGTTCATCCGCGACAATTGTTGGTTTAATCAACCTCTGTTCAAGCTCGTTTCGAAGGAAATTTGTGGGGGATTATGAGCGACTTGGGATGCTCATTCAAGGGCTAAAGCTGGATTTCCATTCCAATTGATGCCTCCTTCGATTTGAGCCAAACTTAGATTTTGTGTCACTGTTCATGTTCATCAGTACCTGTTGCTGTTTTCGCTTTGATTTTGTTGTGCTTCTTTGATTTTGTTCTTCGTGGCACTGTTCATGTTCATTTGGTGTTTTTGCTAAGATTGGTCTGGGTTTGGGAGGAGGAATTAAGGTAAGAAGTCTGGTTGAGTGACGGAGGAAGAGGAGGGGGTATTTTGGGAAAGTCAACCACACTTTTTACTTCACCTAAAACTGCGTGCCCGGTCAAATTGGGAACATTAATTTTGGACGGAGGGAGTATAAGATTCCTAAATATTGTTGTCCAGTCACTGCACCCATCACTAAACAAATATTCCTCTATAACATGTATTTGTACCGTGTATGTTTGAGTATAATACATGAAATTCAGACCCAAAAGAACAAAACCTAAATGAAGGAGAAAATGTGTAATGCGAAACTCTATCTGCCCTTGAATTAAGTTTTTGGCGACCGTTCAAAGTGATTTTTTTTTTTTTAAAATAAACACGTGACTTATTTGTTTTGTTTTTTTTACTATGCATTAATCGCAAATTTTTAGATATTGAGATGTAGAAAGTATACAAGAACACATTTGGTGCGTGCTTAAATTGGACTCGGATCATGAGCCCATCATGTTTGGGCCATAACCGCCCCAATTTGATGGGCTTGGAGAGTGGGCTAGGTGTTCTGGGTTCAGGAATGGCCCAACTCGTCAACCCAGCCACACCTTAGGTAGTTTCGAGTTGCCGGTCCAATCTTTGTTTGGAAACATCATTTTCAATTAGCGTTTGTGTTTGGGATAACTACTTCTCAATAAAATATACCCCGGAGTATTAATAACTTTATTTTCATACCTTTTTATATACAAAGTATAAGCATCATCATCATCATTATAATTACACCTTAATTTATTTAGTAGTATTAAAGATGGAACATGACCTTGATGGCATGACCACCAGCAGCACTAGTCTCAAAGGCTTTCTCCAACTCCTCTTGACTAAACCCAAACCTGTGTGTCACCAAAGGCTTCACATCTATTTTGCCACTTGCAATGAGTTCAATGCACAATGGCCATGTGTTCCTGTATCTGAATANTCACAATGAGCCCTCCCTCCCTATAACGAATCGTCTCAAAAAAACGGCGTATTTTGTTGGAACAATATTCTTGCATACCTTGCAGATGCAGCAGCAATGGGCACGGTCATCTCGGTTTGTCCTAACCCAATGAGGCAAACCTTCCCACCCGCGCTCGTCGCTTGCAGTGCCGTTGACACGGTCTTGTCCAAACCAACGCAGTCGAAGCTCACATTGATCGTGCCACACATTTTTTCGCGTATTTCCTCCACTTCTTTGTCCACGTCCTGCGCGTGGCTTCAACGGTGTTTATTCATATATATATATACAAGTTTGAAAAAAAAGTCATCTACGACTAGGCCACTAGGAGTTAAACCACAGTGAAAGATTGAATATAACTTAATTTGTTATTCTAATTTCTAGTTTTCCAATGTTGGATACTTATAAACAATATAAAGAGGATAAAAAGAGTAATTAACCGCGATGACTGGTGAGACTCGAATGGTTTCGTCCGCGCCTAGATTTTTGGCGAATGTGAGGCGGCAGTCATCTACATCAACCACAGCGATTCTCGGGGCCCCGAAGGCACGGGCAGCCAGCATGGTGACAAGGCCGATGGGCCCCGCACCGAGGATCAACACCCGGGTTTGTGCACCAATGTTGGCTCGCCTGCACGCGTGGACGCCAACACTTAGCGGCTCACACATTGCCCCTTCTTCCAAGCTCACATTATCAGGCAATTTGAAGCACAAATGCGCAGGATGCACTACCTACAAGGGGGCGAGGGGATATTAATTTGAAATATTTGCACTAAAACTTAACTGATTTTCCTAAATAGCACTTAAACTGTTTTTTTCCCTAAGTAACACTTAATAATGTAATGTCTTGTGATGACGACCATTTACTTGAATAATGACTAATGGATAATGACTAATAGTGCTACATTGAAAAAGAAACAAATACAGAATATACTATTTAGGGAGAATCATTATGTTTTAATGATATTTAAATAAATTCCCCTATCAATTAATGGAATAAAGAATCAAAAGATCATTTATTGAGGGATAATACCTGATTAGATAAAGCGCCATTAGTGGGGGGAGAACCAAAGAACTTCATATTGGGGCAGAGGTTATAGCGGCCGTCTTTGCAAAGGTGGCAGCGGCGGCAGCTAATCCCGGGCTCCAGCGCCACCCGATCGCCCACCGCCAACCCCTCCACGCGCCGCCCCACTTGTTCTACAATCCCGGCGCACTCGTGGCCGATAACCATAGGTTTCTTCACCACGAAATTCCCACACCTCATGTGCTAATCAATTGAGCGCATCAATCAATCAACAACCATAAACTCATTCGAGCAAGTTAAGAAGGGGAAAACAGACGATTCTAATCTTAGGAAATCAAAAAACAGATAGTTTTAAGAATGATTCATTCACCTTAAAGTGGTGAACGTCACTGCCACAGATGCCAAGTGCCTTGATTCTAACTTTGACATCAGCAGGGCCTAACAACGGTAATTAATCACGCATATCAGCAGATTAAATGCAGCAGAAGAGAGATTAATTTAGAGGAAAGGAAAAAAAAAAGACAGAGAGGGTAAGATTAAAGAAAGAAACCGAGTGGGGGGAGGGTGTAGGGCTGAATCCGAAGAGTTCTAACACCAAACAGCCAAGCTGCCATGTTTTTCTCATCCTCCTCTCCCATCATCTCTCTCATTCTCTCTCTAGCTACTGTAATTACTTGGATTTTATGAACGATAAAAGGTTTACTCTCTAAATCTTTAGAAATAACATGATGTGAAATTTGGAGCGAATAGGAACATAATTTCCTAATGTAGGACTTAAACTTTTTTATTCCTTAAATAGAACTAAATAATGACTTGTGAGAAGAATAATGTCCAAGTGATGCTGGACATTTAGTTGAATAATGATTAATAAATAATGATCAATGGTCCTACATTGAGAAATAAAAACATAAGGTCTTATATTGAGAAAGTCATGGGAGGCCCGGAGGGTGTGCAAAGTGGCCAACCGCACAGGGCACCTTAAAATTTAGGGCACCATATCTTCAAATTTTTAAATAATTTTAAAGCAAAAGTATTCTAAAAATATAAAATAGGGCACAAAATGTAAATTTTAGACCGGGCCAATTTTATTTTTTCATTTTTCAGGGCCGGCCCTGGAGAAAGTCATTATATTTTAGTCTTATTTAGGTAAATTACTCTAACATGATTTATCTTTGAACATTGAAAAGTGCATCATTTATCTTCAAATTCTTTGAAAATTGCACGATTTATTCCTGAATATTAAAACGTGCACCAAATACTAATGAAAAATTCAAAACGTTGCATCGTTGTCCTAAAATGCTAGATGGGTAGTGCGTTACTACCACGCACGAGAATTGCGAGTATGAATGTATGATTCATCTGACCCTTGTAGATTCTCTAAAGTACCATTCTCTAAAATTATCGTCTTTATTTAAATGTCCAGGGATAAATTGTGGATTTTCAGAAGAGTTCAGGAAGTACTGGGTGCACTTTTTAATGTTCAAGGTAAACAGTGCAATTTCTGAAGATTTCAAAGGCATTTGGAACAGTCAATGTTCAGAGATAAACCGTGCAATTTCTGAAGAATTCGGTGGTATAAACAATACAGTTTTATCTTTTAGCAATTGATTATGATTGTGTTTAAGTTGTCATAGGTTTTCCTTTTCATCTTTGCTTGCGTTTTGCGTGGTTTGATTGAATTGTGATTCTCTGCGTCATTTATTTTGCAATGTTGTGCTCCCAAATCTGTTCCCTTCCGAGTGTGAAAATTATTTGTGCCAAAGAAGAGGACTCCCCTGGCTCATGAATATGGTGTTTGTTCAGTATTATTGAGCATCCTTAATCTTTACTCTTATGTTTAATTTACACCATAATTCGGTTCTCTATTCCTTCTAAAATACGGAGTATAATATTTCATTCATCCACTTTGATATTTTTTAAGTCAAACAAGATGTACTTTAAGTTTTAATTAATTAAACAAAAAACTATAATGTATATTAATATAAAAATTTTTTGTATTAGGTTTGTTGATCTAGTTGAGAACTTTCAAACTTTATTGTACTCATATGCTATGAATTGAGATAAATTGATGCTCAAAGTTTATCTACTTTAACTTGAAAAAGTCAAATTGGACAAATATATTGAAAAGAGATAGAATGAATTTTTGCATACATTAAGAATATAATGAATTTAGATATAATATATGTTTATGTTTATTTAGTTCTTAATGTACTCCGGGTATATGACTACTTTAGTGAGCAAAAGACATGATCTTTGGTATCTTGAGATATCAAATTTTTTAATCAAATTTTGATTTGGCATCTCCAAATATCAAAACAATCATGAAATGGAGAGTTTTGACATTTTCCAAATTTGGGAGATTCATATAAATATATGATATCTCCTCAAGTGTGGACCGCTCCTGCCACTGTCTGTCATCATTGTCACCCTCTTGCTGTCGTTATTTAAATACTTCGTTGTAGTCCATAATTAACAATCTATCACTAAAAAAGGTTATTTTCAAACTTATCCCAAAACCATTATTTTGAATTTTGGAACTCGTTTTATTTTTTTTAGATTTCAAAGCTCATATACCATATATATTATAATAATTTTTCAAAACCCACCAAATGGATCCTTAGTAGATATCCTGTATTTAATTACGAAGGGAGCTAGAGAACTTTTTTTAATAAAATGAGTAAATCGCAAGTCCGTATTATATTAATCTTTTAATAAGAAAAACAAACTAACGCCGTATTATATTAATTCTGATACAGAGCGATTATTGTGTTGTAAAATAAACTATTCCTTATTTATTTATGCGATGGTGTTTTTGATCAAGGCGATTTCCAGTGGCGGATCTAGAAATATTTTTTACCGCGGGAGAATTTGGTGAGAATAAATATAATAAGCATAAATGATTTTTTTTTGAAAATAGCTTAAAAGAAAATTAATTTTAAAAAATGTAATAAAACAGATACAGTCTTACATACGGATATTATAATTGGACCAAGCTTGTTTGGCAAATGTTTGGTTGGGCTTTACCGTTCGACTGTGGGGCAATGGTTAAATTTGGCCTATTGGTTGGGCACCTCTTTTACCACTTAGAAAAAAAAAGAGAGAAAAGTTTAAAAAAATTATTATATTGCAGCCCAAATTTCATTGGGAGGAGTTGCATTGGCCCGCTAAAGACACAACTAAATCCGCCCATGGCTATTTTGACCTTAGGATGATTTCAGTCACCTACAATGTTTCATTCGTAAATTTTATAAAGTTTGAGAAAAAAGTATAAAAAAGTGAATAATACTCCCCCCGTCCCTGAAAATCTATCACTTTTCTTCTTTCATCCTTCCCCAAAAAATTTTCTTCCTTTCTATTAAAATATCACTTTTACTCCTATTAATTCTTAACCTACATATTTCATCACGTCTATTCGCTATTAATCTACCCATCAAATTTTATTTTTACCCATCGCATCCAATGACGTTTTTGAAAAGTCAACACCAAAATATACTCAACGTAAATCCCTAAAATATCAAAATCTCTAATGTTTTCAGGGGCCAAACAATAGGGGTGCGTGCGGTCCGTGATACTATCGAAACCTATCACGGGCCGCTCTTATTTAAACGAATCAGTATCGGTACAGAATGAACCTCAAAATCATTCGGTACAATACTCAAAAAATATTGAATTTAATGTATAAATTTGTATAAAAATGCACAACTTTGTTAAATAGAAGTATTGATTTCGCATTTAAACGGATAAAAAAATAGAGAATAAAAGATAATGAGTCCAAAATTAAAAAAATACTTCGTAGTTTTTTTCGAATTCATATAATATCGGACTATTAGTAAGTATAAAAAATAATGTCAGTAGTAGTAATAAATATAATACAACAATAACAATGAAAGAATTTAAAAATAAATAATAAAATACGAAAAACTTTATATATATACACGGCAAGTTGAAATAGACAAATACTCCATGATTATTTGATTTGAGATACGTACGTACTATATAAAGTTTTGTACGATTCGATCAGTTTGTGATAAAATAATTCAGTTTAAATATTTGTATTACGGTTCTGCCCATTTGATATCAGTTTGGTTTTGATTCGTGATTAAAAAAATCAATCCTGTTTGAAAACACTACAAACGATTCAATACCATTACGATCCATTGAAGTACCAGGCTACTTCGGTTATTATGCTCATCCCTACCAAACAATCTTTTCCTAACTATTGTCCGGACGGATACCCGAAGACTCATAGGTTTAGGGTTCCTTTTTCTTTTATTAAATTAAAGGAGCTCATGAACTTTAACCGCCAGAATCCTTTACTTGCATGATTTTCAACGTAACAGTCCAAAAAGTTCATTAAAAAAAATATATTTGCAGATCTCGATCGATCTTCTATTTTATTCAATCTTATTTTATTTTAAGTTACTCCATACATTATTATTACTATCTCTGTTTATAAGTATTTATGTAAATTTAAGTTTTTATTGTCAATAAATATCAGTATTTGATTTGTAATTAAATCATAAATATTACGTGGTCCGTCCCTGAGTCTTTGTCCACTTTTGACTTTTGGAACTGTTCATCTAAGCACTTTGACTCATCAAATTCTCTCAATGTGTAAGCCAAAAAATAGTCATGTGTGATCTTGTTTGATTCGTCTTAACATATAGATTATTAATATATAATTTTTATAATTTTTTAATATATAAATTACAAGATAAAATGGATTAAAGAAGTGCATTGGATGGTGTGCAAAAATAAAAGTAGACAAACATTCAGGGACGAAGGGAGTACATGTTACGAGTATATACTCTCTCCGTTCTCAAAAACACTTCCTTTTTCATTTTTTTAACTTCCAACAAAACACTCTCACCTTCTATTAAAAAATCACTTTTACCATTACTTTTTCATACCTTATCTATCACATCATAGTTTTCTCTAATAATGTATCCATCACATCTTACTTTTATCCATCAGATCAGGGGCAAAATTGGAAGTCAATTATAATTTAACACTTCCTTATTTTTACACTTGGTCAAAGTAGAAACTTTTTTTTTAGAACGGAGGGAGTATTAGTTATATAAAATAATATTTTTAAAAAATATTTTACAAAATAAATTGAATAAAATATTTTTTATCAATATGTAATGCAGAGTATAAATTAAATTTTATTAACTCGATATTTAATTATCAAAATTTATCCACTTTGACTAGAAAAAAGTGAAAAAATAACAAATATTGAGGGGTTCATATAATCGTATATCATTATTAAGGAAAGTATTTCATTTTATTATATATCATGGGAATGCATGCATGCATGCAAGGAGGTCGTTGATCTAAGCGGATCAAACAACATAAATGTGGATCTTTGACTCTTGTCTCCACTATATTTATACGTGAACAAAATACTTGTAAAACATATGTGTAAAATCAAATAGAATCCATTTGTAGTTAATGAGTTAGATAATTAATTACTTCGGTAATTAATTCGTTAATTTAGGTATTAAATATTTTTTTTAAAAAAAAAATCTTTACAATCTACTGGTGAGTGTACGTGTATACAATAACGTGTTGTGTTTTTGTGTGGGAGAAATAACGTGCTCGTGTCTGGTAAGTGGTTTTTATTGATTCATGGACGTTAAAGCTGTCTTTAAATGCAATTATTTACTTAACAAACTAAACTTAACAAAAAAAAGAAATATCGCACTAGTTTAACTTTTGTAATTTCTGTCACTATATACTCCGTATAAAATACATGGAGT